TTTTAAAAAAGGCGGAGCTGAGATGCCGCTGCTTCAAAAAGTCGAGCAAGACTTCAAATTTATCCATTTACCAAAGTTTTTGTTAGCATATTTTGTAAGTCTTCTTGGAAACACTCGAGCCCCACTTTATATTAATTTGACATTAGATTTTAGGAAAGAAAATGGAAGGAAAAAGTAAGAAGTGTAAGAAATTGAACCGAATTTGAGAAGCTCTGGCTAGTCAACGGTCTTTGGTCTACGGGATGTTCTAACGAGTTTGTGGTATTATCAACTGAAAATGGGACCGAATTTGGCAACTGAGTTACGTTCGGCGCTTTGTTACGAGCAGTGTTTCTCCTTGTCTGTTTTAGTTTCCTAAAATTGTCTTCCGTCACCTCCCACCTCCGACTTACATCCGACGGAGTGTTAATGCTGAACCAAGATCGGTGATATCTCCCGAAGTCACTGAAGTTGTTCAGCACTGAGTCATCGCCCCTCTGCCATGTTTGCCCTCATTCGTGCTGAGCCCTCATTTGGAGCTTAGGGTTCAGGAGAAATGGAACATGTAGTGCTTCAGGTCCAAATGGGATTTAACCAGCTCAGCGGCTTTCTGGTGAACATTGCCGTCTCCACAGTGGGGAGAATTCCTGTAATGCTTCCCTGGCTCGATAAATGTTCACATGAAGCAGCCTGAACTTCATATTTATGATGTTTATTTACGCTTATATTCTTTGAATATAAAATCGCAACCACAAATTAGGAAATGAGATAAAATGGGACAAGCATTGCTACAGATTTTCTGTGGGAAGCTGCCTGAGCTAAAGAGCCTGATNTTTTCTTCTTGATCTTCATATATCTCCGAGAAGGATAACTGGATTGATTAGTCATATCAAGAATTTTGCCCCTTTATAGCATCCTGTTCGGGTTGGCTTCACTTGAACGTGGGCTTTCTAAGCATCGTTTTACAGACCCTATTCCTTTTAATAGGATGGATGAGGTGGAGGCGGTGTAGTGGCTGTGGCGCGCAACGTTCAGGAACTGAATCCTGGATGGTACTCGTACAGGCCTACCAAGCTTTTAATCCATCCGTCGATTAATCAGTCTCAGACTCGTCTGGAAGGATGAAAGCACTAATTTGGTGTATCGGCTGGCCTCTGCTTGTCCTCATACTGGCCACATACCCATTCAAAACGCTGCTACGCATCCTAGCAAGGGGTTGGGTAACAGGGGGACTTGATCCTTCACCCTTTTCGTTAGGGTTCTGGAATTTGACTATTAAATGATATTTCGTTCCTTCTTCGGACTCTTTTAATTGACAATTATTTATCGACAACAATTTTCGTTTCTTTCACATTTCCTGTGGCAGTTATATCGCGCTCTTTGTGGTAGCGGAGACTCGGGCTAATTAGCAGATGTCTTTGCGGACCCTTTCTCGACTTAGGATCTTCGGCTTATTCGAGATCTTGCTGAGTTTCGTGATTGCCTCCTCGACTCCTGGGTACTCTACAACCAGCAGGCGAGGGGTAAGATTTGAAAGAAATTATTTTTGGAAAGCGTCGCGCCTTCAGTAGGTTTTGCGGTGGTATCAATTTAAGCAATGCTGGGATCGGTTTGGGACTAGGAGATAGGAGGGGCGTGGTCGAGAGGAAAGAGAAAAGGGGAGAGGGACACTTTTCCTAATTAGATTGCGGAATATGCTCATTTCTGTACTGGTCCAGTTTCATGAGTGCTTTCGTGCTCCTCTATACGTTTGGTGCTGATTACCAGAGCTCGTAGGCCTAGAAACCATGGAAAATGTGCACGAATCGAATCATAGTGGAGAATCGAAGCAGTGGGGATTCTTTTGCAGCTATTGCTTTCAGTAAGGATTTGTTTAGAACTTTCTTATACCTTTTTCAACTATTTTTCCTCCCCTCTTGGCAGAAGCTGTGAGCTATTCTTTGTCAGAATTTAATCAAATCAGATCTGAGGGTTTTCAAGATAATTCTTTCTTGTCTTCTGAAAGTATATCCCTGAACCAAACAACTTTCCAAAAAGTGGGTTCTGCAGCTTTCCACTCCTACTATACCTCTGGCCATCCTCATCTGTAGGTATTAATACCTAATAAAAAGAATGGTACCACCTTAAGTCATCTCTTCAGCCGTTACCCAGCGTTACCAGGTAATTTCGACGCAATAAGCCGTTCTCATTATTGTTCCTATAGGTGGGTAAGGATATGAGGTCAACAGACATGCATGGGCATTTATTACGCAACTGGCATCGCTGGTACCACCGGTGGTACCCTTGCAGACCATTGGCCCGTGTTAATCTAGTAAGAGTCCAGCAGCTGTTCTCGAGCTTATCTAGAACCGTATCAAGGTCCATACTGGCCCTGGCGTGTGCTGCTGCTATAATTATTTGTTATTGATTAACTACCTGATTCGGAATTGAGATCCTTCTGATTTTGCCGGTTATTCCTTTCCTTTCTCTTCAGGCAATACTTACTTACTTGCTTTACTTTGGTACTTTGATGGTCCATCAGCAAGGGGGTCTTCCCAAAGGGGACCACAACTTCTTCATACCGCCCGGTTTTTCGCGACTTGCATCCAATGTAGGCCGCTTTCTCTGAAATCAGGCATCCGGCAATACATCTATTCACCCAATGTATAGAAAAAAATAATATTAGAAAAAATAAATAATTAGAAATGTAAGTAATCGATAATCTGGATGCAGGAAAGATTTGTTCACATTCCCAGATGGGAACCCATATTTTCGGAAAGTGATCGGGAGCAATTTGGAAGAGAAGTCATGGGACCCTTCCCTAGAGAGGGCACAGCGTTATGAGTTGAAAGTATTCCTAAAATGGGAAACAAGAGCATCCAATTTTTAATTACGCATCAGACGGCTGAAAAGTAAGCCTCCCTAAGTAATTGCTGTCTCCGCGAATGTCTATGGATGTGCAATGACATCGGATGAAAACGAGTTTT